TAACAACCAAGGAGTTGTAGTGGCAGGTGGAAATGGATATGGATATCACCTCAATCAACTCTCTTATCCAACTTTTATCTTTGTTGATGAAGAACAATCTGTTTATGCATCAGATATATTCAATCATCGTGTGATGAAATGGAGAAAAGGTGCAAAAGTAGGAACAATTGTGGCTGGAGGAAATGGAAAAGGAAGAAATCTGCATCAATTGTCGTCACCTCACGGAGTAATTGTCGATGATTTGGGTCAAATCTATGTGGCAGATTTTGAGAATGATCGAATAATGCGTTGGTGTGAAGGAAAAGGTGAAATTGTTGTTGATGGAAATGGTAAAGGAGGAAATGAATCAAATCAATTGAATGGTCCCGGTGCTTTATCTTTTGACGGTGAAGGGAATCTTTATGTTGCTGACCATAGGAATCGTCGAATTCAAAAATTTGTAACAGTTTTTTGAATGAAGCTTTTTGTTAAATAAATAACCGAGAAACAAAAGAAAAAGTGAAGTTTTCTTACTGAAAATGAATGAGAAAAATCAATTTGAATTTGAAGAAAAAAAATTATTGATAAAAAGATAACAAAGAAAAATCTTTTTTTTTGAGGATATGGGTATGGGTAAATAAAACATGAACTCACACCCTTCTTTTACTTCTGATTTAATTATATCAACTAGTTTTGATCAATTTCTTTTAAATCAACAAATAGTTTACCAAAAATCTTCTTCGAATAATACAATGATAAACTGTGCATTTAATCCACATACTGCTGAATCAAAACAACGGTTAAAATTTAAAATAAATAAACATATAATACAAAATACATCAGATGAATCAAATTCTTCTAATGAAATAAAGCAGTTGTTAGAGAAAAGTGGCATCTAACTTTTTCTTTTGAAAATCGGAAAAGGAAGAAAATTCGTAAAGGACTACATAAATGCTTTGCTTTTGCATCGCATTAAAAAAGAAGTTTTTTCTCTACTGATTCACCACATTTTTGTATATACGTAAAATGACACGCTGCGATAGCAATTCTACCCACTTACTATTTATCAAAGCACCTCTGATAAAAAAATAAAATAAAACGCATTCAACCGTGCATAACTCATCCATATTTTCTTTCGATAGTATTCACTATACATCGAATAATGGCAAGCGATAGTGAAGGCTCAAGTATCACATCATCAAATTCATTAGTATTCAAACAATTACAATTTAATTATCTCATTGGTTATGCACTTGCAGCAGGCATTTACATTTTATTATCATACTGTATTGTATTAATCATTATCATATTTTCTATCTCAATCGTATAGCTGGTAACCATTTACAAAGTTCCTATCGATATGCTATTTTCGATTCATATGGTCTTAGACGAACAACAATTGAACGAATTTTTCTTTGTGCTCATATTTCAACTTTAACCCTTGGTACACTTATTTCATCACTTTCTGATAAATAGTAAGTATATTATTTCAGAATATATTATCAAAATAGAAAAGAATAGTTGTATTATTATCTATATTTAGTGGTCGTCGAACAGCATGTATTTTATCCGCCATATTCTATATTATCAGTTGTCTCTCACTTGTGAGTAAATATCATAAAACATCCTAATATAAATTCATAACGTAATTTCTGTCTTAAAAGAATATCAATATAGTGTGGATTTTTTTCATCGGAAGTGCAGCTCGTGGTATAGCTCATTCATTA